AAATCACTCCCAATGCTCCATGACTTCCTCTCAGCTGTCACTCATTCCTGTCCTCGAAGTGATGAACTAAGTCATACAGATAAAGCACTGAAAACACCACAGTGATCCCTCTACACCCCAGCAATGTGTAATTCTAAATAGAAACAACTGTGTAAGGAAGTCTAAAATCTTTACTATTTCCAATGATAAACTCTTCAGTGCTTTTCTTGAGATGTCAAATTATTTCCATGACAAGTTTTAACCAATTTGTAGTGTTCTTTTTATTTGCTGGTGACCCTTGCACCATCTCAATCCCTTTGTTAGACATGCCAACACTGACCTTTTCGTATGTTTTGTATGTTCTTCTGTCTTCCCAAAAGGTGTCTTGGGATACCAGAGTAATCCTTTGTGTTAGTCCTGCTTCTTAATGGCAGCATAAATGGTCAAAAGCAAAAATCTAAATGTTTGCATTTATAAGAGTAGCTACTAGGACACTAAAAGCTTTATTAAGGTATTTATTTCTTTATTTATTTTTAAAGATGTGGGGTACAATTCAGGATTAGGTATACAAGTGCTCATTGTACAGGTAAAGTTTGGGCCTTCCTTTGGTCCTCACTTTGCCTGGTTTGAGGTCAGGTACCCTTATGGATGTTATGTGCTCCCCTACCCCCGGCAGTTTCCGCCTACCACCAATCCCTTTTGTATAGTATTATGGTAAATGCTCAGACATATGGTACTCAGTTCTTTGTTTCTGTGATAAGTCACTGAGTACTATAGACTCTAAATTCATCCAAGTTGCTGCACAGTCCATAATTTTGTTCTTCATTATAGCTGTGTAATATTCCATCGTGTATATGTACCACATTTTTTTTTATCCAGTCCAGCCTCTATGGAAAACAGTGTGGAAATTCCTAAAAGAACTAGAAGTTGACCTTCCATACAACCCAGGAATCCCCCTTCTGGGAATATACCCAGAGAAACTTAAATCACCCTACAACAAAGATACCTGCACACACATGTTTATTGCAGCACCATTGACAATCGCAAAAACATGGAGCCAGCCATGCTGCCCATCAAAACCAAAACCTTTTTATTTATTTATTTATTATAAAGATATGGGGTACAATTCAGGGTTAGGTATACAAACATTGATCATGCAGGTACCCTTGTTGATGAGGTATACCCCTCCC